TTGCAAAACCTGCTCCACCTTGATCTCTCTTCTAACGGCCTCACGGGTCCCATCCCACCAGCCCTCTCTAACCTCTCTTCCTTGGAATCTTTGCTTCTCTTTTCAAACCAACTTAGTGGGCCCATCCCGATTCAGCTTGGCTCGCTGTCGAGTCTCCGGGTCATGAGAATCGGTGACAATGAACTCACTGGGCATATTCCCGCCTCATTTGGCAATCTTGTCAATTTGGTCACTCTTGGTTTGGCCTCATGCAGTCTCAGCGGTCCAATACCACCCCAACTCGGCCGACTCGGCCAACTCGAGAATTTAATCATGCAACTCAATCAACTCGAGGGACCAATTCCAGCCGAGTTGGGGAACTGTTCCAGCCTCACTGTCTTCACAGCTGCTCAAAACCATCTCAATGGATCGGTCCCTGAGGAATTGGGTCTTCTCCAGAATCTCCAACTACTGAATTTGGGCAACAATAGTCTCTCTGGGGAGATTCCGGGTCAACTCGGCAGACTGAGTCAACTCGGGTACCTGAATTTGGTGGGAAACCAGCTCGAAGGTCCTGTACCCAAGTCCTTAGCTCAACTGGATAATCTTCAAAGTCTTGATTTGTCCATGAATAAGCTCACAGGAGGAATTCCAGAGGAAATGGGCAACATGGCTCAACTGGTTTACTTGGTTTTATCAAACAACAATCTCTCTGGTGTCATACCAAGAACTCTATGTTCCAACACAACCAGTTTGGAGCACTTGATGATATCAGATGCTGCAATTTTTGGTGAAATCCCAGTCGAACTGAGCCAGTGCCAATCAATGAAGCAACTTGATTTGTCCAATAACTTGCTCAATGGATCAATACCAGTTGAGCTTTATGAGTTGGTGGGGTTAACTGATCTCTTGCTCCACAACAACAGCTTGGTTGGTTCAATTTCTCCTTACTTGGGCAACCTCAGCAACCTGCAGACACTTGCCTTGTATCACAACAACTTGCAGGGTCCTCTGCCAAGAGAGATTGGAATGCTTGGGAAGCTTGAGATTTTGTATCTCTATGATAATCAGCTGTCTGGAGAAATCCCAATTGAGATTGGCAATTGTTCAAGCTTGCAAATGATTGATTTCTTTGGAAACCGTCTCAGTGGGGAGATTCCAATCACCATTGGAAGGCTCAAGGATTTGAACTTACTTCATATCAGACAGAATGTACTGGTGGGTGAGCTTCCCGCCACATTGGGCAACTGTCATCAACTTACTATTCTGGACTTGGCAGACAACCGTTTATCTGGTGGCATTCCTATAACATTTGGATCTCTCCAAGCAATGGAACAGTTCATGCTTTACAACAATTCCCTTGAAGGTAATCTTCCTGATACATTAGCTAACATGGGAAATTTGACCAGAGTGAATCTGTCAAGAAACAAGTTGAATGGAAGCATTGCTGCATTGTGTAGCTCAAGTTCATTTCTTTCTTTTGATGTGACTGACAATGCATTTGATCATGAGATTCCTTCCAAGCTGGGAAACTCACCCTCTCTTGAGAGGTTGAGATTAGGGAACAATCAATTTACTGGTCCAATCCCACAGACACTGGGAAACATTAGTGAACTATCACTGTTAGATGTCTCGGGAAATTCACTCACTGGACCAATACCAGCTGAGCTTTCATCCTGCAAGAAACTGGCCCATATTGATTTGAATAACAACTTTCTTTCGGGTACCATTCCGCGGTGGCTTGGAGGTTTGCCTCAGTTGGGAGAGTTGAAGCTCTCCTCAAATCGATTCACCGGGCCTCCTCCCCAAGAATTGTTCAATTGTTCTAAACTGCTAGTGCTTTCTCTGAATGACAATTCTCTCAATGGAACTCTCCCTGCTGAAATTGGTAACCTTGAATCCCTTAATGTCCTAAACCTCAACCATAACCTATTTTCGGGATCAATCCCTCCAGCCATTGGTAAGCTAGGAAAGCTGTATGAGCTTCAGCTCTCACAGAACGGATTTGATGGTGACATACCCTTTGAGCTTGGACAAATCCAAAATCTTCAGAGCATTTTAGACCTCAGTTACAACAATCTGAGTGGTCAGATCCCAGCCTCTATTGGGACACTGACAAAACTTGAAGCACTTGATCTGTCACACAATCAACTTGTCGGAGAAGTCCCTTCCCCAGTTGCTGGGATGATTAGTTTGGGAAAGCTTAATCTGTCTTACAACAATCTGCAAGGAAAATTGAGCAAGCAACTCTCACACTGGCCAGCTGAGGCCTTTGCAGGAAACTTGCATCTATGTGGAAGCCCTCTTGGTAAATGCAGTGTCAGAAGGCAACAGTCAGGCCCGAGCGAATCGGCAGTGGTAGTCATTTCTGCAATATGTACTTTATCTGCAATTGCTCTACTGATATTTGGAGCTGCTTCTCTCTTGCAACACAAGCAAGAAGTTTTTAGAAAAGCCAGTGAAGTGAACTGCTTGTACTCTTCCAGCTCTTCCCATGCTCAGCGAAGACTGCTCTTCCCAAACGGTTCTGTCAAGCCGGATTTCAAATGGAAAGATATTATGGAAGCCACAAAAAATCTCAGCAATGAGTTCGTAATTGGCTCAGGAGGGTCAGGGATAATCTACAAAGCTGAGTTGTCCACCGGAGAAACTGTGGCAGTCAAGAAGATTTTGTATAAAGATGACCTTATGGCAAATAAAAGCTTCACAAGAGAGATCAAGACACTTGGGAGGATAAGACACAGGCATCTGGTGAAATTAATGGGGTATTGCAGCAACAAAGGAGCAGGCTCCAATCTGTTGATATATGAGTACATGGAGAACGGAAGCGTGTGGGACTGGATACACCAGCAACCAGCCACCAGCAAGAAGAAGAGCCTTGATTGGGAGGCCAGGCTAAAGATTGCAGTTGGATTAGCTCAAGGAGTGGAGTATCTCCACCATGACTGTGTGCCAAAGATCATTCATAGGGACATCAAATCAAGCAATGTCTTGCTAGATTCCAACATGGAGGCACATCTTGGGGATTTTGGCCTTGCCAAGGCGATTAATGAGAATTACGAGCCTAACACAGAATCGAATACGTGGTTTGCTGGCTCCTTCGGTTACATAGCACCAGGTACTAAGCAGTTATGCTTTGATTTGTATTCTTTCTAACTACTTTGGATACTGATTTAGCATTTGATTTCAACTTGAGTGTTTTATATGATTGATTGTTAACCGCATTTCATATGCTTTCAGAGTATGCTTATTCACTCAAGGCAACAGAAAAGAGTGATGTCTACAGCATGGGGATTATGCTAATGGAGCTTGTAAGCGGGAAAATGCCAACGGATGCATCTTTTGGCATGGAGATGGACATGGTGAGATGGGTCGAGACACATATTGAAATGCAGGATTCTAAGCGTGATGAGTTGATAGACTCTGCACTGAAACCACTCATATCTGGAGAAGAATTTGCGGCGTTCCAAGTGCTTGAAATAGCACTGCAGTGCACAAAAACCAGCCCAGCAGAGAGGCCTTCGTCCCGGCAAGCATGTGATCAACTATTACATGTTTTTAATCATAGGATGGCGGAGTTTGAGAAGACGAATATAGATTCTTGTACTACATAACTAATCAAATCATGTTTCAGAAGTTTGATGAACATTTGATATCAGCATAAATATAACAGGTTTCATTTGGGCTAGCGACTATTGTGCAGCATTGAGAATAGGGTTTTGCTTGAGGCAAATGTCGATGGCATTGAAATCTATGTAAGATTGTATTGTTAGAGCTTTGTTATTATTATCCGTGGATCATCGGTTGTAGTGTTTCAACCATCATGACAATCTATATATTGGATTTTTTAGTATTGCAGTGACATTGAAAGCTTAAGGCTGAATGAAAAGAATCCAAATTTAATCAAACGCTCCTCTCCAGTAATTAACAACAATAACTTCGTATTCAATACACTGGTTATGTTGAATCAAAGAACTACAATTTAAGCTGTAGTCGCTGCAAATAACTGGAATTAGCCAATCACAACCAAAATTGAAAGGCTTGTGGAACTAGTATCTTTTCATCACAGTTCACCGTTTAGAACCAAAACCCAGAAACAAACAGAACAGTTGGTCCAACTGTTTCTGAAAGCTCTAACTAAGAGTAATCCATATTTGAGATATATTTTACTGACCATACTTTTCTAGACTTGACAATGCAGATTCGTTCAGCTCTGTGCATGACCAAACCACTTCACAAAGAAGAAAGTTTGAAGATGCCTTCTTCACTCAGGCTATTAAACCTACAAATACAATACCTGTAATAGTAATCAATACACCAACAACGAGCTCACAACCATGACATGTTGGGCTGAGAAACGGATGCGTTTTATATACATAATTTTCATAAAATACTGTTTGGGGGACAAGAATCCCATTTTTATTTGGTTTTCTACATAAAATACTGCAACTGACCCTTCCAAAACACCATCTCAACCAAGGTTGCATTGCGGAATCAGTTAATAAACTTAAAACAAAAATTACTAAAACTTAAACCCTAATAGATGCATGTTTAATAGAATACTAAAACTTAAACCCTAATAGATCCATGAAACATAATAAAACACCAGTTTATAGGATTGTATTTATCACTAAAATGATCTAGGTGGGTAGTTGTCCATTCAGTAAGGGTACCGAGATGGTAATAACTTTGGATTTGAGCTTTACCAATCAAGGAAAGCAGGACCACTCACCCATTGCCCAAAAGATGGCTTCATTTTTTAGATATCTTGCAGCTAGGACAACTATTGAATTCATTTCATTTATTAACAACGCACTAGACACAGCATTCAGCTTTGCAATATGAAAGCATTTCATTACCATGCATCACAAAAAAATACCAGAAAAATAGGAAAGTTTTGACAACCTTGCAAACATATCAACATTAAATTTTAAAAAAAAAGTGCCTGCAACTTAGAAGGCCTAACACTCTCTTAAAACATGGATCCCGCCTGAGCATGCCACAACACACTGAGATGCAAGCTAATCATCATCTTCATCTGCAGATGAAAAATAAATATTAATTAGGAAAAGGAACGAGTCCGATGAAAGATAAGTTTGCACACATTAAATCCCATAAATTAAATCTTCGTTTTACTCAAGTGCTACACTAAACATGAAGTATGCAAATAAGTTACAAGCGCTTGGCATTTTCTAATAAAGTTTTAATCATCAAAAAGAGAAACAAACAAGAATAAATGCATGTCCAAACACTATCCACAAACAATCATCACTCAGTAGGAGAAAAACACTTGTAACAAAGTTTTTCATTGCAAGCCACTTCCAAATGTTGTACTTTACACTGTGCTCTTGATTACAGTGATGAGTACATTACTTTTTATATTTGTTCCCGCTAAGATTTCCCAAAGAAAGTCTGGAAGCACAAGGATATAATTCAAAACTTTTGGCTTCAGGTAAAACAAAAATCATATATGATGAATAGGGATCTGACCGATAAATGGTGTGGAAGAGCATGGAAGGCAAAATCGACATAATTTTGTGAGTACAGTATTTGAGGATTTCTTGTAGGAACCTCCCACAATGTTTTTAAAGGAAAACTAAATGAGTTTGGAAGCACAGGAAGCAAGAGGGCAATAAAGCAATTATGAGAATACTAAAGGAAAATCTTAAAACCTGGTTCTCCAAGGCCCAAAATGGCTTACAAGTAAGATCATAGCATTCAACCATAGTCTAATCAAACACAAGAAAGCTTAAAAGTAAGGACCAAACCTGAATCCAAACCATTAGCATAACAATCGAAACGTCCTAATAAATAAAATAATCCCAGGGATCAGTACATTCTCTCACAAAATTTTGTTTTGGATCCATAACCATTTAATAACTCTGGAAAATGGCAAAAGTAAAATGCTTATTATCCTTCTTCATGGTTTTGCCAGTTGGGGGGGCAGGGTGATGGACTGATCAATAAATGAAATTTTTTTTTCACTTACAATATCTCAGATGTCATATCAGTTTGATCAAGAAAAAGGGCTCCAAAATTTCAGATTATTTCACACAATGTGGGTAATTATGAGGAAGACACGACAATAAAAGAGAAAGAATATAGCAACAGATGGCAAAGAAAAAAAATTAAGTAGGCAAGCTAATTAGGGTTCAAGGGACCAAAAATAATCTCTGAATGTAAAAGGACTATGTATACTAGGCCTTTCACATCCCTAAGATCCTAGTGCAGTGAACGCATGCACAAATACTTAAATCTTTGTGTTTCAAGCATATAATAAGTAATTGAGAGAATAACCATTCACAGACTCCATAATCCGTGAGATTATCTAGTAGACCAATAGGCCAATAAGACCTTGGCATGACGTTCGGAGTCCAGATGACCCTGCATGGGTTTTCCTGGTTTGAAATATCGAAATACTCTGCTTGATTCACATTTTCTATAAAGGATCCACCTTTATGAGGTGCAACCAATTTTGAGCTAGCGAGAGAAAGGAGGGAGGAGAACAAGATAGAAGAAAGTGAGACAACATGTTATGTTTTAAAATTTTCACCTAAATATCCTCTGTACACATACAAAAGTTCTAATTCAGCGTTCCCTCAATGTCCAAACCAAACTTACAGACAATAACTAGCTAAAGAACAGTACTTTGATTCATCATATCACTCAAAAAGACATGGGTTCTTAAGATTACTTATAGCGTGTTTCAAAATTTCACAAATCATCTCAAAAATGACACTTAGCAAAGCTGAGCTAAAAATTGAGACACCAAAACACAAATGGGATTGATGGGTTGTCATAGAATACAATCATGAGGCATACGAAATTGAGAAATTAATTGAATTTGTGCGATTTTGATATTGGGTTGGATAAGTATACCAATGTATCGGCGCTCGTTGGCGGCCTTCGCCTTGTCGAGCATCTTATCAAGGTCCTCTTTCAGCTGTTCGTCCCATTTCACGAGCTGGTTTACGAACACCGCACCCAATCCCATGCCCAGCACGTGCTCCCAAGGATCTGAATCGGATCATTGGACAATTGGGTTTAGGGTTCATGAGTCAATGACCAGAGAAATGAATAATGATAAAAACGATAATTTGAAAGAGAAAGAGATGAAATTTACGGCGCATGTAAGGGAGCTTGCGGAGGGCATTGGAGTACATCTGGGTCCCCAGTCCCAGTAGGGCTCCGATCATCGTCGAACTTACCGGCATCTTCACAGGTTTGCTTACACTGTTCACTGTCTGTCTGTTTCTCCCTCTTTCTTTATGTGCGAAGCTAAAATATACAGTAACTAAACATTTTACAACAATATATTATATATGCACATAAATCAATATATATATATATATATAAAATAAAAGACAGAGAATTGTGAAACATTCAAAATATCAGAAAATGTCTTAGTCAATACAAACATTCAGAATTAAAATTATTAATTAAGTGAGGTTAATATGATAAATTCACACTTTTTCATATTAAAAAAAATTAAAATTAAAAGAAAAATCAGATAATGGATCCTATTTTTATGGAACACAACTACCTATTATCTTTTTAATTCTAAAATAAATTTAAAATTTTCAAAAAGCCTCTAGCATGCGCGGAAGCGCGTCCAAACAGGCTAGTAATAATAAAAATAACTTTTTAAAGATAAAACTTTTTTCTAAACACATTTTGATAGGGTTAATTATGGATTGAACTATATTCCAATTTGCATTTTAGCCCTTAAATTCAGTTATTAAATTATGCAGTCTTCAAACTTTGTCAACATTTTGGTCATCCTCCATATCTATTTATCAAGTTTTTCGTCCATCCAAGGGGTAAAATGGTCAGTACATATCCTTTTTGACAAAATTGAGTGATTGAGGTTTAATTTGTTACAACTACTGGGAGTGGGCATTGAGACCAGAAAATTGGAACACTGAACCACGTCGAATGGAAAAAACTAGAAGAAAAAAAAACTTTACAAAGTCAACAAACCAGTATCAAATCTGATGTAGGACAAATCATAGGTTTGTTCCTACGAAGGAAATTTTGAAAAGGGGAAAAATTCAAAATCAGAAAATTGGGCTTCAAATATGGAAAATTATGTTTGAGCATCAATTATGGTGCTTGGAAAAAAAGGAAAGCGTATCTTTGGGATTTTCGAGTTGCTTGATTTCTTGAGAAGATCTATATTGTATTCATATTTTTAGAATAAGTTATCAATCACAATATTATTTTCCTGATATAATTTTAATTAGGATTTAAATTATTTTCTTATTAGTTAAGTTTAAGGAATATTCTGGAACCTAAGGTTTCCTATGGTTTTAGGGTTTCTTTGTTTTCTATTTAAGCCAACTCATGACGTTGTATTAATCAGTTTTATCATATTATTAATCAAATTTAGATATTTTTCCCATTTTCTAGTGGATTCTAGTTTCTGATGGATTTCATTTTATCTTTTCGGGTTTAGACATTTGTTGATCCGTAAATCTGTGCTTACGTGCTGCATCAAGTGGTATCAAAGCGGGTCATCATTCAGAGCAAGGATTTGCCTTCTCAATGATGAGCAGTAATGGGAGGTACGTAAACCTCATAGACAATCGTCGTGGGGAAATATCAAATATTGAAGGGGAATACGCTAGTGAATTAGCTCAAAGCCAACCCTATGTTGCAAATGTTCCATGTTTTATGGGAAGTGACTGCATTGAATGGTTTCTCGAATGGGTTGCAGATGTAGAGGAAATATTTGATATAATGGCGATTCCATAAGAGAATATGGTGATTTTTTTTTTATTAAAAAAAATTATTTAAGTCCAATGCTAATTTTCTAATCTCTTAACTAATATTTCCCCAATCCCAACCTTCAAAGCACCTTTCTTTTCTAGGCCCAATCATCTTTCTTTGCATGAAATTAGATCATTTGTGAAAGTTTAAGCCCACAAAATAAAATTTTAGTTGGAATTTGTAAAAAATATATACATTGAAAAAATATCCGCTCTGAAACCGAAAAAACCAAGAACCGCACAGGAACAGGTTTAAACTGGACATGCCGGTTTTATAAAAAATTTCACAAAAATTGGATCAAATCGCACCAGTTGAATAGCACTGATTCTGATCTAGTGTGAGGTGGAAACTAGACCAGATCAGACCGCGCCCATTCGTACTAATTAAGGCTTGACTAGTTTAATTCATTTATTAGGGCTATGATTTGATTCACCCAACTCGAGGACCCTTGCAACATTTCAAGGAATAAGGTGGTCATTTGGGCGAGACTAGTAACAATATTTATAGGGAAGCTATGTATTTAGAGGAAAACTATGGTCAAATCGTTGAAGGAACAAGATGACCTAAATTGATCCATTTACCCTTCAAATTAATAGTCGAATTAACAAAAGTGGCACAATATAATGACTAAAATGTCACTCGTGATAGAGTGTTAGGACTACATAATTCAATAAATATATTTAAGGACCAAAATGCGACTAGTACTAGACTCGTATTTAAACAAACAAAATTATTACATTAGAAAATGGAAGTATATTTATATGTAACTCAAAGCTGATAGATGATAGATCCACCAAATATTGCAAGAACTTTCACCAAACGAGTTTTGATTACTCTTTTGCATTCAAGTAAAATCCACAAAATCAAAATTTGAATTCTCGATTTCAGGCCTAAAATTTCTATACCACACTACCTCCCCATGTTTTGCTGTCTACATGACTCCTTGGTCAAAACTTGTCTTGTCTATTTGTGTATATAATATGCCTGTGTTAAGTTAGTGTGTACCACGTTAACGAGTATGTATTGAGTTGACCTTAATTATACAAGTCACTAACAATGAGTTTCTAAAATAATTAGCCTTGTTTTTTTGGGGTGTTGGTTTTGGATAGTTTACCAATAAGATGAACATGCAGAAGTTTATCTGAAGGTATCATTAGCTCTTCTAGTTTGCTTCGAGAAATCTGTTTATCTTTTTGACTTTCATGGCTTTGTAATGTGACTGGTAGCCAGTTTCTCCTAGTTTATTGGCCTAAATGGGGACTAATTAACCGCTATTATTAACCTAGTCTCTGTCATTATATGAAGGTAATTGAATTTATACTTCTTGGGTACCTGTTAAACCTAAACTTTAACCTCTGTAAGATGGAACATAGCAAACAAAGAAAAAAAACTGTTGTAGAATAAGCATTTTACTTTTATCAGTGGTTGGCTTGGCTTGGCCATAAATCAATATTTTATCTTTTCTCAACCCCGATTCGTCATTAAATGTCATTAGATTTTAAGTAAATTTAGATTTTAAATTAAAGTTGTCACTCTTACTTTGTGCTTTTGGAATACTATAGCCACCCACCACTTATCTATAACTACGGAGAAAAACTTAGTTGCAATGAAGTTTGTCTCACAACTAGGGTCAAGTGGATAGCAATCCGATTAAGAGACAAACCTTAACCCCCATATTAGAATATTAACCCCTTCGTTTTCTGGTTTGACAAACTATAAAATGAATAAAATCAACAAGAAAGCGAAAAAATCCGCAAAAAAAATAAGTATATGGAAATATTCTAATCCTCTGTGTTGTATATTTGCATTGGACGAGGAAAAAAATTGTCACAAAATCCAAATCTAAAGGGTAACAAATGGGTAAGAATTGGAGGGACGTTGAACATGGACTCCAAAATTGGCATGAATGGCGGGGCAAACAGAATTCGAAGGTGTAATAAGTCAAGTCATAGACTGAAAATCAAAGGCCAGTGTGTCAACAGGGTAATGTAATGAATACATTGTTGTATGTTATAACTAAAAAAATTAAAACTATTGACTGAAATCAAAGACTAGTTTGTCAATATGGTAACCCAATGAACTACAGTTGCAACTAATAAGGACAGGCATTGAGTGTTTTGGATTTACATATTTGTTTTGCATCATTTAACTTTTAATCTGAGCCGTGCATTATGAATCCGATTGTAAAATCCGATCGTTGTTTTTACGAGTTTAAGGTTTGATGAGAAAAAAAAACTAAAATATATAAATATAAATCTTTGTTAGGGCCCAAAGAAATAACAAGGTTTTTCTAGATTGCTAGAGAGACGCTCTTTAGGTCTTAACAACAAATTTGACCCCACATTCACAACGGACTAAAAACCAACGTCTCTCTCCCATTCAATCCTTACTTTTTCTCACCAAATTCTCTTTCACTGTTTTATTAGTACCCCCATTCTGGCCTCCTCTGTTTTCATCCTCTGTTTTCTTCCTCTGTTTCATCCTCTGTTTCACCATCTTCAATATATATATAGCTTCCAAGGATCTGAATCTTAGATTCTCCAATACAAAACACAACACACACTTTCCTCCAATTTTAGCCACACCCAGCACAACCCACAAAACAACACACACTTCTCTCTGTGTCTGTCTGTGTTTTGGTGGCAGTTACAAAATTGTTCTAAATATAGGCAAAGTGCAAACAGGTATGAGGTAATATACTAGTGGATGACAAATTGGTTTAGGCCTAAAAAAAGCTCCTCTGTTTTCGTGTTAAACCAGTGGCTTGTCTCTGTTCTATCTCAGAGTCTTTGGGCTTTCCAATGTCTAGAAGACAGATTCCTCTGTTGACATAGCAGATTTTTTTTTGTGAGGTTGATGTTGTTTTCAATCTCCCCACCCATTTTCTTTCCGCTATGGGTTTTTCAATTCTTTGCTTTTTGTTTGGATTTCAGTCTCTTTACAATGATTAGGCATTGAAGGAATCTGTAATTCAGTAATTGCAGTAATTTTCGACAACCATTTGCTTCAGAATTTGAATCGAAAGATGGCATCGTCACAGGTTGAAATGGCGGCGTCTGCGCCGTTCGGGTGCGTTTTGAGAGACCACAACCGGCGAGACAGATGTAGAGAGAGCAATGCCAGAGCCACACAGGCCGCTTTTCAGAACAATCTGAAGAGCTTGGTGAGAGATCACCTTCATACCTGCATTTCAGTCTCTTCAAACTCTGCCTCCAGTGGTGACTACAACAACTCCCAAGGCCATATCGAAAATGTCGATTCCTGGGCTCAAAAAAAGGATAATGTCGATTCCTGGGCTCAAAAAAAGGATGGCAACAACACCAACAGCAACAACGGTGGTGGTGAAAGAGATGACGGTTCCACTATGATCCCGAGGCAGTCTCGGGTTCTCGATCGATGCGCTGTTGGTAAACAAGGAAAAGAAACGATTGCAACGACGGAGAGG